ACATCATTTAGGGTGATTTCTTTAAAACTGCCAAGCTTTTTCTCTGATAGGTCATCAATCTCTGCATTTTCATCATATGCCTCTACCTGACATTTGTTCCCAATATCTATCCCCTCTCTATTTAGGAGTAAATGAGTAAGTCTGGGCAGAAAAGAGCTATGTGAACTAGACCTGGTAGACAGATATGTACTCTCCCAGACTGATACTGTTCTGGATCAAATCCAACTTACACAATCCAACCACAAGCATCAAAACAATGAACGTAAATGTAAAGACTTTTGTCACCTCTTAATGGTACAACATAAACATGCTGATAATACAATGCATGTTAATGGTACAATAGCAATTTCAATGATGGGAGGTACTGAAAGGTTTCGTTTTGAAAGAATAACATGATCGAGACAACCGCAATAAAAAAATCGCATCAAACAACACCCAGTTATTCTATCCAAAATCAGTATAAAACTTAACAATAAATTCAATGGGAACTTTTAACAAAATGACACAAATAATGAATCTTTTAAAGATCCTCAAAAACCAAGTTTGTAGGCATGCTCAGTCCAGTTTTCCAAGACCGTCTTTGCTCAATTTGCTTTGAATCAATTTTTCTAAATATTCCACACAGGAGGAACTGTAAGCAGTAAAGGAAGAATCAGATGTTGAAGTGTAACTTAAAGGCATTACCCCTGAAGTGAAACATACTGTGATCAATGCTAGAGATGTTGAAATGACCAGTGGATATGCTGTATAAGCTGATCAAAGTCAGTTCCAGGTATATGCTACACATCATCAGATGTTTACAACCAGTGATTTGATGGAGACAAACATTTTGGACAAGCAATAATTGTACAGAGTAATGGTCAAGGTATAAAGCAGATGGGAAGGTATTCACACACTTGATACAGTTGATGTCCTAATATCCATAGGGAGTCTCTCTGTTTTGTATCATATGTTGTCTTAATATATAAAAAGAAAACCAGGACCCGCTTGATTAAAGTCTTTCATTAAAAATCAAAATAACATAAAAAATCAGCAGGACTTGGTAGATAGTTTTTATTTGGCTTCCCTCAAAGACAGACAGAGCATGCAAATATGGGAGATAAATTGGCAAGTACTAGTACACGATAAAATGTGGCCCTTGGACACCAGAATGAAGAGTAACATCAAAGATGCATATCTTGCCAAGAGGGGAGGATACGATGCAAAAGTTTCAAAATCCTAAACACTGCAGCTTCTAATTTCATTTGGGATCAAAACACAATACAAAATCTCCGCATATATCACAAACACAGTATTATCAATTTTGTTCCTTGGTCCACAAAAAGGATTCAGGAGTATGATCATATATATTCTCATCTTCAATCTTCAAAGACATCCAACAGCTTTGTCTTTATCCAGTCTCTTTGTATTGATGGTTTGATGTCATTATTGGTTGGACTACCTGTGGACTATATATACCACACACAATAACAATAATACTCTACATACTATAAAGGTAAAGTTAAAGTAAAGGTAAAGTCCAACACTGTGAATGATAAAAATGACATGAACATAATGGTAGATGAGTAACCTGCAGAGGGTATCAATGAGTATGCCACAAATAATAGTAAATAACGTCATTTCCAAGGGCAATATAGTGAAATATTGGACCTTGGGCCTTCTGCTATCCTAATGTAAACTCTCCTGTTCATTGAATTGGTTTATTTCATTTAGAAAGTCGGCATACTATTACAAATGAGTTTGTGAGAATTAGGTAAGAGGTCTGTCAAGTGAACAACACCTTAACATGACCTTCTTATCTCATACTATACTATCTCCATGTTCATTTAGAAGTTTTGTAGTATATTTGTACAAAGAATATGTAGTTTCAATTAGTCCTTACGCACCCATATCCTGCGAGTGTCCTAATTTAGCAGACCGTATCTAAGCAGAGAGGGTATTGCTAAGCGGTTTGGGTGTTCTTCAAGTTAGAAAACAAGTAACTCATATATTACGATGATTTGGACCTCTGGTTTATACCTAGGCAACACTAAAGGCAAGACCCCATAACCAAAATAGATATTTCCCAAACCAGTAACTAACACATTGCTGAAGGATAGAATCACACAATCAGGGATGGTGTTGAATGAGGGAGGTTTCTTGTTAAGCTGGAAATTTTAGTTTAAAACTCTTAAATGTTTTCACAATAAGAGAAAAACTTACAACTAATGATACAACTAATACTAACATATGATCCTAAATAATTAATAATGAATAGTATTATATTGTTCACATGCAGACAATTAATATTTCAGATCAAATACAAGCAAAGAGCAATCAAAATGTCTTTTTGGAAAAACTGATAGTGCAAACCCTATTAAATCAAAATCATACTTTGTTAAACTTGCTACCTTGTTAAAGTAAACTTGTATTGCTACCTTGTTTAAGTTTCCGAATGGATGTCCATTCTGAAAGTCATCATATCTTTTTTTCACTAATAACACAACTGAGAAAAAATGCGATGACAATGTTTATTGTGTTGATGCATGTCAGATACTCGTTGAGTCACTACTTCACCTTACTCAACTTAACAATACTTATGACGCAATAAATGCCATCTTAAAATCACCATTCTAACAAAACATAACAACAGTTGACGTCAGTTAATATAATTTATAGATACGTTCTGTGTATGTTATTTCCTTGGGTTATTTCTATGTTACACAATGTTAGCTGAAACTGTTATTAAGATATCATTGCAAAATTACTGACTTTAGAATTTGATAAGTGATGTATCCCATAATAAGAAATCATAATGTCATATTTCAAAACAATATTAACATGGGATCTATCAGAAAAGAAAAAATAATCTCATATTGTACTTGTGCAATATTTCAGAGATTCTTAAAGATGAAATATGTATTGTCGTATTTCAATAATATGTACTTCTACTGTAAGTAATAAATCCTATACACCTTTATAGTACATTCATATACTGTAAAACGTGTCTAATCTGAACAACAATAGGACAAGCCAAAAGTATGCAAATGAGGTTTCTAAACATGGGACCAGTCGAAGCTCAGAATTAATGAGACAAAAAAGTGTTCAGATTAGAGAGGTGTTTGGATGAGAGATGTGTTCATAAATGGAGGAAAACACTATATATCTCAAGTTTTCAAATATAGTGACATTTCAAGTAGAGCACTATTTCCCAAGAGTAAGACACCCTATTAATTGATAAAATGTGAAAATGGTTATAAATCATTAAACATATTACATATTGTTAGGTAATATCCTTTATAAAATTACATAAAGTTATTGGGAGTGTTCAAAGCTACTCAACTTTGAATGTGAGCATCCCATCATATAATACCCTTCATATCATATTGATTTGTTTACTATAATCACACTCTGCAGTAAACAGTGAAATCCTATATTGGCATTATCTATTTCTTTTGAAATAGATATGATATGGACACACCAAAGGGGTCTCTTTTGTGTAAAGTATAACCATGTCCTACCATTTTTAAAGTTGAATTTGTATCTAAATTTTCTATGCAGGTAGAATGTAGTTATTCCGAATAGACTCTGGGTTTCAGAATAGTGTTATCCCCATTACTCTAAATGATAAATGCCTCTAAATAATGCCTAATGTCTTGAAAGTTATTTTTGTCATAACAAATGGAAAAAATAAGGACAAGGTTCACTCCCACATACATTGGTACATTAGCACAAATACGGTTAACCTCTAAATCTTCTTGATGAAATCCATTGCTTGCAATCAGCATACATCAACCGTAAGTTGTGAGCTTTCGAGAAAGATTTACGTGTATGTATCTTGTCTCATCATTTTCACCAGGTCTTTAGTTGCAAATGCTCAAATATGAAATGAAAAGTTGCTGATTATGGTACCATTTGAGTAAAGGCTCTCCCACAAAATATTGCGTAAATAGAATTTGGAATTCAGGTAACTGGGGAAATTTTTAAAATCTCAAGGAAGGTGGTCTGGGAATCCCTATGAATTGGCAGATTGAGTTGACTACCTCATTGAACTCATTTAGTTCCTAAGACTTGGCTTCTAGATCATTTCCCTTTATCAATACCTCATTTAACATTTGTATACCATTGTAGTTTAATACCACACCAGGACATTTTCTATCTTAAGTTGATACCAATGATGCATTTTGAAATAAGAAGATGTTCATAAACAACTAATTTACCACCCTGGCTCACCCCTGAGGCTCTGTATAACACTTTACCTTTACAACATCAAAGGATCCACATGTGTTTGGTACATGTATAATTACCTGTAATCAATTATTGTGACTTAAACATTACATTTACTACTGCAAAAGGTATAGTAGTATTCCATGAGTAAAATGTAAGATGCTTTGAAATGCAAAATAGGTATATGAAAACTCTAAAATTACAAAGGGATGATGAAATTGAACCTGAAAATATGATTTGAGCAAAAAGGGGTAGAATGCATTTGAGAAGTGATATTTCAATAGTATAGTATAGCACAACACATACTATGTGGGTCAAGTTTTACCAGGGGCATAAAAGTTGAAATTAATGGCAGCCCCTGGGTACAGGGAACACAGATCAGCTGCTCACTTCACAACATTGTAGTGTTTTCACATTGATTTATTATTAGAGGGAGAACAGGTGATATCTTATGATTTTTACAACTCATCAGAACGATTTTTTTACAAAAATTACTATGTGATACACTGACCAAATACCAAATAAGGAAATCTGAATTTCTAAATTAATAGAGCCTTAGTCCACTAGTCCAGGTATTCATGCAATAGATAAAAACATATTGAAATCCTAGGTTTTAGATTTGATAGGAACCAAATGGAATATCATTGTAACATGTAGGATATATATGATGCTATGTAATGGGTGGTTTTACTGTGTATTTATGTAACTATGGTAACTGATGTCATGGCAAATAAAATGATGGTATTGTTGTTGGTTGCATAGCAACCATAATTAAACCTATAGCGATCACTTACTTTCTGTTCCACAGTGTTGGGAAGGATGGTGACCATGACGATCCTGATGTTGATATAATACATGCTGTTTACGCTCTGTAGGCTCTGAAGTATTGTCGCCATGGTGAGGCTCTATGAAATAATCTTGACCTTTGTAAAATATCCGACCAAACTGCAATAAAATAAAATAAAAAAAAACATTTATTACAAATACAAAAAGAAATGTCAACAAAACAAAACTTGTAAACAAAACTTGTAACATATTTTATTTCTAGTGCATAATAAGTAAATTAGTGTGTTCCCTAATCAATCCCCTCATCATCTTTTGTATAATTTAGTACACGCAGATTATGATATCTTTTTTCCTTAAATCTGACTATATCAATATTGACTTCTTATTTTCAGAGAAATGCATTCAGATGTAGCATACATATATTTATGTCAATTCCAATGAAGCTAAAATAATGTGATTTCTTGAAGTAAAACTCTTAGTTGCTAAGGTAACTGATGCAAAAAGCATAAAATTGGCTTGTTTTCCCATCATTAGCTAGTTCCAGGTGGTCCAAATCAGTGATGCAACCATATGTGTGAAAGTGATACACTTTTCCAACTGATTGTTTTCTTTGGAATAAACTAGGAAAAGTTACAATTCTACAATTAAGCAACAAAAACGTTTGCCTTGTCTGGATTTTAGCCTTTCAAAATTTTGCAAAAGATGGGCATAAAAATGTGGATCAAATATCTAAATGAATGATTTAATAATAATAGTTCTCACAAATTATACTCTACAGAGTTCAGTGCCCCCTGGTGTACATAATTACATTTCTGTATTTGTTGAGGACAAAATGGTTACTGTGTTGTTAAACCCATAATCATAAATCCCCATTAAAGCAGTGCTACAAAGATAGCTCTTCTTTCCAGAAATAGCTATCATAAATGTATAAACATACTGAAGAAATTCATTTTTCGTTTCAAGTATATATTTTGCACAATTCATGAGATCTAAAGAAATCACAATTATGTACAGAACTGAAATCTTTTTGTGATCAAGATGAAGAACAACCAAAAAACAAAGATCTTTCGACATCCCTCCCTCCTTCTAAGAAGGTATGCAATATATGAAAGTGTAATGTTCTACAGTAATTTTATGTTATCTCAAGGCTGGCTCATTGAGAGCTTTCATCAGTGATGGCCAGTATTGTTTATGCCCAGCTAATTAGTGCATTTTGTTTAGAAGTTGCCATCTAAAATTATCAGTTTTACCAGGGTCTGAACAAATATCAGATTTGAGACTTTACACTACATAGACTTTCATAATCATATATACACATGATTGCATGGGGGACATTATTAAATAGAAGAATTCAGTTCTGATACTCTTTCAGTTTCCTTTCTTGCCTGATGAGCCATGCATGCTTGGGTTTCATTCTGGTTTCTATTAAGTTGGTCATTTCAACAGCTCAATTAAGTTTTGATAAACCTGGCTTAATGTTTACTTGTTTATTAATGTGTTTGCTAGTTTGTTATGTCAAAAACTGGCTGAATTTGCATGTCTGTAAGGAATATCTTCTGAGCCAGGTATTTTCTCCCATTGCTAAAAAAGGTTCAAATTTCTTAAATGGGAAATGGAAAAGGCTAACTGAGGACCCCCTACCAAGAAGACACTGTTCTTACATAATATAAAGGTTATCTTGATTAAGTGTGGTGACCAAATGGGTCAAGCTAATGACATAATTGATGACATAGTAATGACACAACATGATTCAATCAGTTTACAGCTAATTTTGGTGAACTGGCTACTCTACTCCTACATCCTGACAGGTACTTATAACATTATCTATTGTAAAGCCTAATGTATTTTGTAATAATCATATAACAAAACTTTTAACAAATAGGCATCCTGTGTTTCTTATATAACAAAGCAAACTTTCTCAAGAAAATCCAACAAAGTAAAACAACTTTGCATGAGTTGAACCAATCATTGGTGATTATTATGACATTTACAAATAGAGTTAAACACTTGAACTGACAATATGTTACATTAAAGGACATAATCATAATACACAAATGTCATGTTTTGATAATGGACAATAACCATAAGGGATCATTAAAGCTCATGATCAAAGAGACTGTTAATTAAACACACTTCCACTTTACTTTCTAGGATGTGTGTTACACAACCTTAACAGGGGCCATCTGTGATTCAACTCTAATTGGTGTGAGAATGGTCAAGGGAATGGTGTCTACCCAAAGGCTATATGGAAAGAAGAACAAAGAAACCTGTTGGCCCAGGTTGCTCTACCAATTACAATTCAGAGTTTCTCTTTATCTAAAGCTTGTGAGAGATCTAATGGGTAGAACAGACTGAGGATCCCATACTGATACTGTACAAGTACTATTAATATGAAAATCGCAAACTCAAATTTTCTATTCTGATTCATCGAAGTCCCTCTTTTATCTAAAGCTGCTCTCTTCATGAGAGAATAGAGGCTGTAGAACCCACAATGCAAATTTTCAACATTGTGATTTAACTTGAACATTTGTGGTTTGTTCTGTGACTTCAAAAATGTAAAAAATGTTACGTTCATCTGATAATTGATTATTAAGTAAGGTTCTTTTTATAAATGCATCCTGACAAAGCAAATGAAATCAGACCCAAAATGATCAGTATCACATTTTGTATATAATAAGGGTGTCTAGATTAGTTAATGAACATTTTCCAAAACATAATCTTGATCATACTCTCACTTCCCTAAGACGACATTCGTAAGATCACTAATACACCAAAAAAAATAAACAAAGGTGGGTTATGTGCATGTCAAATGACTTAAAGAACTACCAGCGTTAGACTAGCATGTGTCAAATGAGCCAAATCCTAAAGGTTTTGATAACCCAAATTCTGGAAACCTTTGAGTATAAGACAGCTATGCGGAAGTGTCTGAGAAGCAGGTGTATGCACTACTACCAAGTCTACCTGGCAATGAGTGAAGCAACCCAGGAAATGTTAATCCTCTAGCCTGCTGAGATGACGTGAAACGTTTCGACCTGCCGAAATGGAACCTGTGGATATCCTCCTTTCAAAACAGTTCTTATTGGGTACATTACTGGATAAAGTACTACCTCAGCTGATGTACTCTTTGTATTTTTTATATGATTCAGATCTGAGTGTCACAAACCATCTGTCTTGATACTTCCATCTTCCAAATCACAATTCTCACGTATTTTGGGAGAAAAGGCAAAATGTGTGAGGCTCATAAGGGGAGGTTATACAGTATAAATCTATGGTAATCTTTTCAAAGTCAAGGATGTGATAGCCACACATATAGTAGTGAAAACCCATCTATTCTAGAAGATCAAATATTTCCTAAGTGTAACCAGAATGATAATCCCTTGTTGGGCTAGAAATCATAAATTGAAACCAGGTGTATCAAACATCTAGGCAAGGGCATACATACAGATTGAGCAATTGATGAGATACATGTAGATTGAAATATAACACTTCACCTTCCCATTGCTCCATCAGGTTCAAGATCAAATTTAGATCCTACGTGCATATGAGGAGGGTCTTGAAGTTTTTTGTATTACTACTTTTGCTGCATTTTCAGTGCATTTAGATTAAAGCAACAATTTAGACATTGACTGACTCCTATCTATGAGTAAAGTAGAGAAATAAACACACTGTCCAAAACAACCCCACCATGAGCATAACAAAGGTAATCTCAATCAGTAAGACGCAGCATCTGCTTTCTTTCTAACAATCATTAGAATCAGAAAAAACATAATTAGATTAAACCTGTATTTAATATTGCCATACTGATTTCACAAAATAACTTGTGAACGAAGAAAAAACGTTCATGACCCTCTATATAAAAGAGAATAACAGTTTGAAGCCCAACATACAGTTAAACATGTGGAGCTTAGGGGAAATGAATTGGTAGACTTAAGAGTATCAAGAGTCATTACCTCTAGAGAAGCACATATTGACAGGGTACAACAGAATCATTCTCAAATATCATGGATTGTGATTGTACCTGATAATACCTCTATATATTGAGCCATAGAGCCTAATCTTTCAGCCAGACTTTTTGTCACTCCTGGTGCAACCCTAACAGAAAATGTTGAACGACTTGTTGCCAACATGCCAATTTTTAGAATCAATTATGAATAAGAGTATGAATGGAACCATAACTCTATATCAAACAATTGGCAACATTTGGAAACACTACTGAAGCCATTTTACAAAATATAAATACACATATATGGGTTTGATACTCCATTATCCTTCTATAAGAAAATGCCTGCATGATTCATAATAGAGATAATTAATCTGATCATGATATATGATCAAAAATCCTGACAATGCACTTTTGAATAAACATTTGAAACAAAAACCAAAAAGCTGCAAATTATATGAACCATTTTATACCAATTACATGCAAGAAAAGTATCAGCAGAACTGACCTCCACAAGTTACTCTCCACGTGTCTATGTCTATTTACACCACATTGAGCTCTAGTTCTTGCAGCACTATCTCTAGTAGATGCCCTTTGGAAGTCCATATGCCACAGTTCAGTTACTTTATGTGCTGCACTAATAGGATTGTTATCAACAAATTACTCTTCAGTGATGACAATTCATTTTTCAATAAGAAATTCAAATCCTATCAGTTTCAAAGTTTGTCTGACTTCAAACATTTAAGATAATGTTATATGTACTGCTATTACCATTTTACAAATGAGAAACCAACTTTTGAATTTTTTTTAAAATACTACAAAACAGCACAAATTTTTGAACACTATATAAATCATCTGAAGTTTTTATGAACAACAGGGGGTGAGGATATCGTCCAGTTCATTCATCTCATTCATAGAGGTTCTTTCCCATATATTAGTCCTATTTGGGTCCATTATACCAAAAAGCATTGTCTGATTAACAATATAAATTTGTGTAGTTACTGTATTGCCTTAGGGACAACATGCTTTGTTAAGATGAGTGGGCCCTGTCTTAGCTCTATACTTAGTATGAAATAGTCACACTCTGTGGTATCAAATTGTCATCAAGTCAACCAAGTATGTCATCAACAACTGCATTTGTTGATAAGTCTGTCCAAACTAGACATTTCCCTGTAACTAATTACACCACCAATGACTTTAACATCATGAACTTCAATGA